AAGGAAGAAAAGACCAAAATGGATGACAGAAGAGACTCTGAAACTTGCCCTTGAGTGGAGAGTAGCTAAAGCAAATGGAAGAAATGACAAGATAAGGGAGCTGAAGAGAAGATTTCAAAGAGTAGCTAGAGAAGACAGTCAATTATTATAATGAAATGTGCAAAGACCTGGAGTTGGAAAACCAGAATGGTAGAACACATTCAGCATTTGTTAAGCTGAAAGAACTGAAGAAAAAATTCAAGCCTTGAGTTGCAATACTGAAAGATTCTATTTGCAAAATATTGAATGATGCAGGAAACATCAAAAGAAGATAGTAGGGATACACAGAGTTACTGCACCAAAAAGAATTGGTCACTGTTCATCCATTTCAGGAGGTAGCATATGATCAAGAACCAATGGTATTGAAAGAAGAAGTCAAAATTGCATTGAAGAAACTGGCGAAGAACAAGTCTCCAGGAATTGACAGAATACCCACTGAGATGTTTCGGCAAATGGATGCCACAGTGCAGACTCTCATTGATCTATGCCTAGAAATTTGGAAGATGGCTACCTGGCCAACTGACTGGAAGAGATCCATATTTGTACCCATTCCAAAGAAAGGTGATCCCACAGAATGTGGAAATTATAGAACAATATCATTAATATCACACAAAGTAAAATCTTGCTGAAGATAATTCAAAAATGGTTGCAGCAGTATATTGACAGAGACGTTCCAGAAATGCAAGCTGGATTCAGAAGAGGATGTGGAACAAGGAACATCATTGCTGATGTCAGATGGACCTTGGCTGAAAGCAAAGAATACCAGAAAGATGTTTACTTGTGTTTTATTGACTATGCAAAAGCATTCAATTGTGTGGCTCATGACAAATTATGGATAACATTGAGAAGAATGGGAATTCCAGAACACTTAATCATGCTCATAAAGAACCTGTACATAGACCAGGAGGCTGTTGTTCGAACAACACAATGGGATACTGCATTGTTTAAAATCAGGAAGGGAGTGTGTCAGGGTTGTATCCTTCACCACACTTATTCAATACATATGCTGAGCAAATAATCTGAGAAGCTGGACTATACAAAGAAGAGCGAGGTTATCAGGATTGGAGGAAGATTCAATAACAACCTGCAAAATGCAGAAGACACAACTTTGCTTGCTGAAGGTAAGGATGACTTGATACACTTATTGAATTGAAGATTTCACTCTGCAGTATGGATTACATCTCAACATAAAGAAAACGAAAATCCTCACAAGTGGACCAATAAGCAGCATTACGATAAATGTAGAAAAGATTGAAGTTGTCAAAGATTTCATATTACTTGGTTCCACAATCAACACCAATGGAAGCAGTAGTCAAGAAATCAGACATCATATTGCAGTGGTCAAATTTGCTGCAAAAGACTTCCTTAAAGTGCTAAAGAGCAAAGATGTCTCTTTGAAGACTAAGGTGCGCCTAACCCAAACCATGGTATTTTCAATCACCTCACATGCATGTGAGAGCTGGACAATGAATAAGGAAGACTGAAGAAGAATTTATGCCTTTGAATTGTGGTGTTAGTGAAAAATACTGAAAGTACCATGGACTGCTAGAAGAACTAACAAATCTGTCCTGGAAGAAGTGCAGCTGGAATGCTCCTTGTAAGCAAGAATGATCAGACTTGTCTCACCTACTTTGGTCATGTGCTCGGAAGGGACCATTCCCTGAAGAAGGATATGATGCTTGGTAAAGTGAAGGGTCAGCAAAAAGGGGGAAGACCCTCAATGACATGGACTGATACAGTGGCTGTAATAATGGGCTTATAGTAAAGATTCTGAGGCTGGTACAGGACCGGGCAGTGTTTCATTCTGTTGTACATAGGGTCGCTATGAGATGGAGACAACTTGAAAGTACCTAAGAATATCACCAACTTATTAAGTGCCATTTTGCAGCTCTTCAAGTGATGAACAAGATTCAAATGGAACACTTTCAGAAGCCATTTAAACTATGTTCTCCTACAGCCTAGAGTTAAAAACAAACTCCAAACTCTGCCATTGAGTTGATTCCCACTCATAGCAACCCTGATTGGGTTTCCAAGGTGGTAAATCTTTACAGAAGTGGATTGCCCCATCTTCCTTCCATGGAGTAGCTGGTGGGTTTGAACCACCAAACTTCTAGTTAGCAGTCAAATGCCTTAGGCACTGCTTCACCAGAGGGAACTATAAATCTATTGCCATTTCTGATGATAAGATCTTAGGCTCAAAAATACAGCACAGGGCATAGAAATCTCTACTTTTATAATGTTTACCTTCTGCCTAATTGTATATGCTAAGTTACAAAAGTGACATCTGTTTTCAGCACAGGAAACCCAGTAATTTAACTCAAGCTTGATGCTAAAAAAAGAATATTACATCCATCTTGAAAGTGGTATGCATAAGTGTATGCAAATAAAAGGTTCAAGGTTATTCTGGCATATTTTTATTTTGTAAAAATACAATGCATATAATTCAGTATGTCAAGAATCTGTAAGTCATGAGATCTCCAAGATTTCATTCACTGGCAATTTCCCCAAATGTTTTTATGCTTCTTATTTAACCTAGATGCTACAGACTGGAGAAGTAGCCATTGTATAATAAATCAGTAACTAAAGGTCAGCATCATGCCATTGATCCTTTTAAAAGATTAACTCCTTGCTACACGAAGTTGGCACATAGACCAGCAGTATCAATACCCTCTTGGAACTCTTCAGAAATGTTGCATATCAGGCCCCAACCCAAACTTAATGAATGAAAGTCCCCATTTTAACCAGATGCCCAGGTGATTTGTTTCCACATTAGAATCTGAGAAGCACTGGACTAACTCACCAGGCCACAGATGTCACAGAGTCTGGAATCTGGCAAGTTTTATTTTCAAGATTGATGATCATTGGGTTCAGCAGAAGCTGGGCATCCACAGTCACAACCGGCCTCGCTCTGCAGGAAGAAAATATGGGGCTTCAATGAATCATGTGAGTAAGAGACAGAAGTCCACATCGCTGAAAATGGTACTCCATTTTTAGAGGTCACTGTCAACGTTCCTAGCCTTTGTGCCAAGAGTTTTGCTCACTGCATGAACAGGTGGGGACCAGACTCAATTAATAATCCCCAGACAAATCTGTAGCTCATGAATACAAATAAAGGGTGCTGTGAGTCCATCAAGGAGAGATGAATTTACAAACCTACTTTCCATATGGAGTAAACTAAAACCTACTGCCATCAAGCAGATTCCAACTCATAGCAACTTTATAGGACAAAGTAGAACTACCCTCATAGGGTTTCCAAGGCTGTAAATCTTTATGGAAGCAGATTTCCTCATTTTTCTCCTATGGAGCATGTTCAAACTGTTCTCCCATGTTCAAACTGCCTATACACACACACACACACACACATATACATATATATACACACACA